AAAAGCTCCACGGCCACTACGCACACACGACTTCCCCTGGGGCATACAAGCAGCCAATCAAGCGGAGCGTCAACAGATAGCACTAGCCAACGAGCTATATAGGACAGCTCTACTACTCATCACCACTGGCTTGCAGTACAACGTATCCGCCGTACTCGAACATCCCGCTCCAGCCACTTGGTGTCCCCAAGCGCCGAGCAGCTGGCAGCGAGCGGAGACGCTCTGGCTTTTGGAGCAGACGAACGTCGAGCTGCACTACATAGACCAGTGCCAGTTTGGGCAGGCCGCGCGGAAGCCAACACGCCTGATGGCGGTACACCTCAGTGAACTCACACAGGAGCTGGGGGCGGTACCTGGGGGACAGCTATGTCGACACAATGGACATGACAGAGCATACGGACGAGACGGCCAAGGCGGCTGGAGGACCGCCCCCCTCAAAGAATATCCTTCAATGTTGTGCAAGGCAATGGCAACTGCATTCGCAGCCCACTGGGGACACCTTGCTGACGAAGAGGCAATGTGGGCCGAAACGGATGAATGCTACCACAGGTTCTACGCCCCCCTGGACTACTACATCGAGCCAGAGCAGCTGGGCCACGACTGTCACAGGACATGGGGTACCCAACGGCGCTAGCAGCTGACACTGCAGTTGCGGCACTACGATTGCCTGCACATATATTCGGGATTAACTGCTTCAGGATTATTCATATTGCCAGTCCATGGGAGGGACCATCTTATTGCAGATTGGTTCACAGACTATTGGCATCTTACAGATTGGTTGGCAGCTTACATTACAGAATGGCGTACAGTTGGATATTGTTTCAGAGTGGCAGCAGACGCGATAGTATCGGTGCACCTACTGTAGGTACTCAAGACCCGCGATGCTATCGGGATATTGGCACGGCTTCGTATTGGACAGCGATTGCGTGCCATACTCGAGGGGGGGGGACCCGTAGCGCCCATACGGGTGGGCACGATCCCTCAATGGCGACGGAGCGTGCCCCCCCCCTCGAGGACTTTGCTGGATTTATTGGCCTATTTTTAACCCTGGCATTCACTTCCATGATTACCCAGCGCCCTGGGCAAGAGCAGCATGGATTCGGCAGTACATTCGCGGCAAAGAGCTTCCTCGGTGACAAGCACTACGGCGTCATGGGTTAAGTCCTGAGGAAGCCCCGAATGCGTGGGAAGACCTCAGGCAGCGTCGCCAAGTTTTGCTTTGGTTAGGACGCAAGTCCTGGGGAAGCCCCGAATGCGAGGGAACACCCCAGGCACAAGTCGCCACGTTTTGCTGTGAGTACCCTGGCGGCGACTGGCTACCTACAACTCGGAGGACACCAGCTGGCTGGCAGCTGGCGGTCCACACGTCGCCGTCGTACTACTGACCGACATCGACAGCATACCCAGCACGACCCCGCACACCTCTTGTCAAGCCAACGTTGTCCTGGTGAGGCACGGATCAAACTTCGAGACGGGCTCAAAGGGCGGGGGGGGAGGACGAGTACTTCCCGCGCCCACCAGGGGGGATGGTGAGGGGCAGGGGGGGGGGGTAGGACGGCCACTACCTGCGCCCCCGCGGTCCGCCCTAGCTCGCCACCCCCACCATTCCCATGGAGAAGGAGGAGCTACCCGAGCGCCCGAGGGCGAAGCACAGGACAGCCGAGGCATCCCACTCCGACGATAATAAGTACCAGGCCTGGGGTTCGCCCCCACCGAGGGCACTGTAACCCCTAGCCATAGCGGGACGAGGTGGGACAGCCAAGACCCCCACTTGAAGTCGGTGCATGGAGGCCTTGGAAGCCCACAACCAACACAACACCAGCAACTATCCGACTCCCCAACGACCCGACCAGCACGCTCCACACCCTACACTCAGCCCTACAAACGACCGCCACCCACAACCCTCAAGATCAGCGCCCTCCTGTACTGCAGAGGCGGGGGCGGCATGAATGACGACATCGGATACTACGGCTAGCCGAGTACCAGGACGACCAGCATGACTGGACAGGATTACGCAAGATTACCACCCCGCCCAGCACGACTGGGACGAGGGATCCAAGTTCGAGCACCACAGTGTCAAGCAGCACTGCAGGCTCGAGCACATCATGGACTACTCGAAGAAAAGGGGCAGCCGCCCCTCGGCGAGGGATACACAGCGCCAGGCGCCGAAGGGTGTATCCCCGTCGCCCTCGCGTGGCATGCGAGGGGCCGAGGCCAGCCGGCCCTGATCGGCATGATGACTAGAGCAGCCGCTGCAGGCTTGCTGGAGCCCACGAGCGGCTCGGCGAGCCTCCACAGCGCGCTGCGCCGAAGGGTGGAGGCCGCCGCAGCTGGGGGCAGCCAGCCACCCGAAGACCCCACGGCGGCTGGGCTCAGCGCGAGGCGCCGAAGGGAGCCCAGCCGCTACCACTCGGCCGCCAGCCCACGAAGAGGCCGTCGGCCTGGCCGTGCGCCTGCGCTGCCTGACGCCCGCGTGCGCGGGCGCGCGCGGCGCCCGCCCATGGGCCCTGTCGGGCCCCCTTTTTTTGCTGAAACCCGGCCCCCTTCTCTCTCCCCTGAGGTTTAACTTGGTCCCTGGCTCCCCTTGCTTTCCTCGGGGTCGGGTTCCCGGGGCCGCTGTTCGAGTGCCCGCACGGCCCTGATGGGCCGCTGCGGCGCGCTCCGCGCCCGCGGGGCGCGCGACAAGACGCTGCATAGCGAGAAATGTAGAAAAATGTATGTAGGAGGAGGAGGAGGAGGAGGAGTAGTGAGGAGGAGGAGTGAGGAGGAGGAAGAGGAGGCAGGAGGGCAGGGGCTGCAGAACACGGGGAGGATCCGAGACAGGGTCGTCATGGTCCTCGTCTCCGTCGTGGCCGCGGCGGGCGTGCAGGATCGGCTGCCATCTCTAACCGCCGCCCAGCTTCCACTCCGGCAGCGCCAATCGCACCCCAAACCGCGATCTATGCCCCCGCAGAAAGAAAGCTGGCACGCGCTGCGGCGGGCGGGTTTGGGCTGCGTCAGGAGTGCCGTGATTCCCCGTCAATGATCTGGGCGTCGCGACGAGGAGGCCTCAGCGTGTTCGGCCCGTCTCGAGGTGGCGGCGCGCACAAGGAAAGGGAGTGGACGGAGGGGGGAAAGCTTCTCAGGAGGCTGCTTCTTCGAAAGCGCCGCCCTTACATCTGTAGAGAAATGCCCGCACCCTCTAAGAAGCAGGGTTTTTTCTAAGAAGCCCTCCCCCCTTCTCCCAATTCCCTTTGCACGTGGCAGGCTGCATCTGACCCTGTCCAAGCAATCGCGCTCGAAAAGTGTCGCAGAACTTCGCCGACCCTGTCGGCGTGTGAAAGACGCTGTTGTGTTTGACTCGACGTCGTTCCCCCCTGGGGGAGGAGGATCCTTAGGGTCATTGGGAGGGGACCCGAGGGGGTGTCCTGGGGGGGTCCCGGGTCAGAATACCATCCTCCCCCTGGGGGTTCTGGGGCACAAAAAGGCCCCAAGACAGCCCAAGAGGCCCCCAAGACGGTCCAAGAGGGTCCCGACTCGCCGACCAATCTGCCCAACACGCCGAAGAAGGCCTGCTGACAGTCCAAGCGGCTTCCAAGACGCTCGAAGAGGCCTCCGAGCACACCAAGAGGGCTCAACAGGCAAACATACATGTGATTTTCTTTGGGCGTTTTGGAAGATTCTGGCGTTCTCGCCTTTTCGGCTTCCCGACACCCCAAGACGGCCCCAAATGCCACCAAGATCGGCACAAGAGGCCCCCAAGAGGTTTCCAAAACGATTTCCGAATTGCCCAAGAGGCCCCCCAAACGGCTCTAAGTGGGCGCCCACACGGGAGCCCGAACGAGCATGTCGAGCCCTCGGCCCCGAGAATCTCTCAGGAGGCCATACGAGGCCCCCCCAAACCCCCACGAGGCCCCAAGAGGCTCCCAAGAGACCCCCAGGAAACCCGAATTGACCCCCAAAAGGCTCCCAAGAGGCCCCCAAGATGCTCCCAAGAGTCTCCCAAACTGCCTACCAGAGGCTTACGAGCGCGCTCCGAAGAGGCCCCACGAAGCATCACTGAGGACTCTACCCCACGTCAGCGTCGTCGTCGTCGTCGCCGTCGCCGTCGCCGTCGTGGTCGTCGTCCCCCTTCAGGGTCGGCGGCACTGGCCGTGAGGCCTTCCCAATAAGTTTGGTCGAGGGCTCTGGTCGTGATGCTTCACGGTGGTGCGGTGACTGCCCAGGGCCTCGACACTCCAGGCTCGTCGTCCAGGGCTCACAATATCTTGTCGGCAGTCGAGCCTCCTGGAGGGTCCTCGTCGCCGCGACTCGACCCGCCTTGAGATCCTGGTCAGGATGCGCCCCAGCAGATGCCGTGAGGTCAAGCGTTAGCTGCCCCAATCCAGAGCTCCAGGCATGAGCAAAGCGCTTCACCCTTGGGGCCGAAAACCCGAAAACAATGCTGCACAGCTCAGGATGTGGGGCCGCGAGGGGCGATGGGGGCCCCCACGGGCCACCGCTGTCGGGGGCCCGGCAGCCCTCGCCGGGCGAAGCAGCGTGGCACCAGAGCGGCAGGCGCGTGGGCACGGCACTGCAACGGCAAGATGCGCACGTCGCGGGAGACCTCGTGGATGCGGTGTGGAGCACGGGTTGAGTCAGTCAGCCCGCCCAAGAGACGTGGCGGAAGACGGAGGAGGCAAGAGAGAGCTATGGGGGAACTGATGTGGAATGAGCTCGCGCATCTTCCACACACCGAATGGGTCGACGAGCCCGACGACGACGACGGCCACGACGACGACAACGAGGACGCCGACGACGAGAACGAGAACGAGAACGAGAACGACGACATTGACGACAACGACGACGACCGCGACAACGAGGACGACGGCGACGACCACGAGGACGACGGCGACGACGACGACCACGACGACGACGGGCGACAACGACGACGACGACCACGAAAACCACGACGATGACGACGACCGCGACGACGACGGCGGCGACGACGACGACAACGACGACGGCAACGACGACGCCGCCTCGCCGGCAGGAGCGGGCTCGCAGGGAGGAGCAGCCCGAGTCCATCGCGGCGGCTGCTGCGCCCGGCGGTGGCGGCCCTGCTCCGCTCTCACTGCGCCTCCCTGGGGCTGCCTCGGGGCGAAATGAAAACTCCTCCGACGGCCGGGCTCGAGACGCGTGGGGGGCACCCTCTACGCCACGACAAATGCATAATGTGTATATGTAAACTTATGTACACACTGTATATATATATGTATATATATGTACAAGACTGCAGTGGCGCTTCGCGCCATGCACCTTGGTCCTTGAAGTTTGTTATGCAGGCGGAATGGCAGGAAGGTCAAGCCGACAATTAAGCGATAACTCCTTGTTGCCGTTTCTGGCGCCGGCGCTAGGATCATGTTATTCGTTGTCCTTCCTCCATGCTTCTTTTTCCTCATGTTCGCCATGCCCTGCGCATTCTCCCCATCCTCCTCAGCTCTTTTTTGCGGAGGCTCCTCCTTGGAGAGCCTCTGGGGGCCTCACAAAAGTTGCTTCAGGCTATACATGTACAAGTATACACTCAGACACTCGCCGGCGACTTTTGCCTGCACGGTCAAGCGGCTGACGTCAGGAACGGCACAGAAGGAGGGAAGCCCCTCTGCGGCCCCCCAGAAGCGGCAGCTGCTGCGTGCACGACGGGGGCAAGAGGGACAGGCACTGAGGGACCTAGGGAGACTCGAGCCCCCTCCGAAACCAAACTGCCCCCCTGCTTCAGCGACTGGACCGTACCTTCAGGGAGGGTGGCGGTATAGAAAGCCGCTGGCTTTCAGTGGTGATTCTGTCACCGCCACTTGGGCGCCCGAGTTATCCGGGGTAACTCGGGTTCGGATTCCCGAAAAACGAACCCGAGTTAGCCCTGACCCGAATTATCCCTGATGCTTTGGGGCTCTGGACGCCCGAGTTATCCAGGGTAACTCGGGCCCGGGGCAACTCGGGTTCGGATTCCCGAATTACTCCGACGGAAGAACCCCACATAAGAATCCTCTGGGCGAATCTGGAAAAAGCCATCACCGTCGTCCTTGTGGTTGGTGAGGCGTCCTGGCTGTCTCTTCTGCGTATATTTCCTCTCGCCTTGGCGCGGGCCCCCCTTCCACTCCTTACGTTGTCCCCATCCTCGCCCCCCTGTTTGTTCCGCGCCCCGCCACCTCCTCCCCTTCCTGTTGCATGAGCGCGCATGTCGATGTTCCTCGGCGCCGTCGCCGCCACGGCCAGCACAGGCGCGTTCTCTACAGGTCACGTCGCGCAGCCGTTGGGACAACCCCGCGGGCCAGGCTGTCGGGACAACCCCGCGAGCCGTTGGCGCGCAAGACCAAGCCGTTGGGACAACCCCGCGGGCTTCGAGCGAGGCGCAGCCGCGCTCAGGCGGAAGGCAGCACGAAGCCCAGCTCTGCCGCGAGCTGCTTCGCCTCCGCCCTGGACAAAACCGTTCTCTTGTCGAACTCCAGGAGCGCCTTCCGCAGGGACGCCGGCGGCCCGCACTCCAGGAACTCTCGCGGCGGCGGCCGCAGGATCAGCATGTTCCGCATGCACGTGGCGCGGGAGAACATGACGTAGAGGTGCAGCCACCACTGCTCGTCCGACATGCCCGTGCGGCCAGCGTCCTCGTCTCTCGCGCAGTCGATGGTGACGCCCTTGCGCAGCGTCTGGCCCTGCGACAGCGTGGAGGTCAGGTAGGACGCGTGCGTCAGGGTGAACCCCGAGCGGCGCACGCTGTGCGCCCCCGAGCTCTGCCATGTGAACTCCCTTTCGCTGGGCCTGAACATCAGCAAGCTCCGCGCCCGCGCCTCGGCCTGGCCGTCGTCGTCGGCGCCTTCGGCGCCCTGTCGCAGCACCTCGGCGACCTGAGGAGCCCAAAAACTTCCTTGTTGCATCCAAAGTGTGGCCTGGGAACTGCGTTCTGGCAGCGCGAGAACCCAACATTGACGACAGTTACAGGTTTTGGATGACCTGCTCGGATTACCAACATGATCTGCGGGCCCCATAGGGAGGGGGCTCCCGCCTGAGACTTCCTCGCAGTTCACTCACAGACGAGGCTCCCGCCTGAGACTTCCTCCATATTCAGGCTTGAGGAGCCCAAAAGTGACGACAGTTACAGGGTTCCGATGACCCGCTCGGATTACCAACATGATCTGCGGGCCCCATAGGGAGGGGGCTCCCGCCTGAGACTTCTTCACAATTCACTCAAAGACGAGGCTCCCGCCAGAGACTTCCTCCAAATTCAGGCTTGACGAGCCCAAAAGTGACGACAGTTACAGGGTTCCGATGACCCGCTCGGATTACCAACATGATCTGCGGGCCCCATAGGGAGGGGGCTCCCGCCTGAGACTTCCTCGCAATTCACTCACAGACGAGGCTCCCGCCTGAGACTTCCTCCAATTCAGGCTTGAGGAGCCCAAAAGTGACGACAGTTACAGGGTTCCGATGACCCGCTCGGATTACCAACATGATCTGCGGGCCCCATAGGGAGGGGGCTCCCGCCTGAGACTTCTTCACAATTCACTCAAAGACGAGGCTCCCGCCAGAGACTTCCTCCAAATTCAGGCTTGACGAGCCCAAAAGTGACGACAGTTACAGGGTTCCGATGACCCGCTCGGATTACCAACATGATCTGCGGGCCCCATAGGGAGGGGGCTCCCGCTTGAGCCTTCCTCAGAATTCACTCACAGACGAGGCTCCCGCCTGAGACTTCCTCCATATTCAGGCTTGAGGAGCCCAAAAGTGACGACAGTTACAGGGTTCCGATGACCCGCTCGGATTACCAACATAATCTGCGGGCCCCATAGGGAGGGAGCTCCCGCCTGAGACTTCCTCCCAATTCACTCACAGACGAGGCTCCCGCCTGAGACTTCCTCCATTTTCAGGCCTGGGGAGCCCAAAAGTGACGACAGTTACAGGGTTCCGATGACCCGCTCGGATTACCAACATGATCTGCGGGCCCCATAGGGAGGGGGCTCCCGCCTGAGACTTCCTCACACTTTACTCAACGATGATGAGGATGAGGATGATGAGTGGTGGTGAAGATGAGTGGTGAAGAGGATGATGATTGATTGTGGGTGGTGGTGGCGATGATGATGTTTGAATGAGGATGATGCCGATACCGATGATGACGATGATGTTCGTGAGCGTGTGAGAGAGTGCGAGTGATGATGATGTGTGTGTGAATGAGTGCGAGGAGAAGAGGGGGTGAGTGAGATCTCTCTCCTGCGCGGGGGTGTGCAGAGAAAACAAGAACCCCACTTTGGATGTGGGGAAAAACGAACCCGAGTTAGCCCTGACCCGAGTTACCCCTGATGCTTCGGGGCTCTGGGATTCTGTCACCAACACCCCGCCCCGAGGCCCAGGAACAATCCGCTGGAGGGCGTCTGTGCAGAGATTTTTGTGGCGGACGTTCGGCCTTCTGGGCCCCTGGGACCGGTGGCGCGCCGAGGGGGGGAAACTGGGCAAGCCTTCTCAAAAGGCGGCGGGGCTTCTCAGAGGCTCCCGCCATCGCGGCAGAAAATGGATACCAGGAGAGTAAGCCATGGGGGGTGGATGAGGAAGGCAAACGTGAGCGCCCCCACCTCATCCCATCTCGAGGTCTCTCCCAGGTTTGAGCCACCCTTGATGCGCTCACTATGATAGCGAGTCCCAGTGATTACTCCAGCCTTCGGGGCCCTCCATGGCTTCGTGGAAGGCTGAGGAAGCGTCTCGCTGCTCCGAAGGCCGGAGGCTTTCCGAGCCTTCTGAGAAGGCCCGCCCCCTCTGCCTCTTCCCCCCCCCCGGCGCGCCGCCGAGAAGGGGTCTCTCATTGCCACGGCTGGAGTTGCCTCGAGATTCTGGCCAGGGGGCTCGGAGCAGGGCGGTTTTGAGACACTAAGGATTCAAAATCGGTCGTCGGACCCCTCCCGGGGTCCAAACGCACGAGCTTTCCGCGCCGCGTTCAGCCGTTGGGACGAGGGGGGGCCCCGAAGGCCCACTACCAGGGTCTCAAGCGGTCCTCCTCTGAGGTGCATCCCCGGGCCAGCTGAGATGGGTCAGCACCGAAACGATCGCGCCAGAAGTCGCTTCGTAGCTCCCGGCGACTTTGAGGGGCCGTCTTCAGAACCCACTGTGGCACAACTGTATATCACTTGGGGCTAAAAAGCATAGTTGCCTACTTCTCTGTTTTTTTTGTTTCTCTCTCTCTCTCTCCTTCTTTCTCTCGCAGTCCAACCATGATACCCACAGAGCATGCGCGCATAGGAGAATGGAGGGGGGAGGGAAAGAGGGCTACCCTCCGCCGCCGCCGCCGCCGCCTGGCCCGCGGATGCATTCGTGTTCTGTGTGTATATGTTGGTGTTGTTCTCTCTCTCTCTCTCTCTATCTCTCTTTCTCTCTCCTCTCTCTCTCTCTCTTCTCTCTCTCTCTCTCTCGCTCTCCCCACCCACAATTACTCCTCTCTCGCTCTCGCTCTCGCTCTCTCTCTCGCTCTCGCTCTCTCCTCTCTCTCTCTCTCTCTCGCTCTCCCCACTTGGGCTCTCTTCCCCAGAAACCGTAGACGCACTGGATATGGCTAAACATCTGGCCCCAAGAGGCTTGATCTTATCCATATCCAGCGCGCCTCGGCGTTGCGGCACCTCTTCCCAACAAGTCCACGACGCTCTGGACATGGATATAAGTACTGCCCGCACAAGGCGAACGGGAAGACCCTGAGACCCGCCCCTCCACCGCTGGCCGAGCCCCCGCTGCCGCTGTTGCGGCTCGCGTGCCCACTCTGACCATCGCTCGGACGTCCATTCCGTGTTTTTTTTGTCGGTTTCGTGCGTGGTTTTTTCGCCCCTCGCAGGCTCTTCTCCGGGAGCCCGCCGCTGCTCCCACGAAACGCGGGTGGACGCGGCTCTGCTGGGCCAACGGCCCGAGGGCAGCTTTCGGAACGGCCCCACAGAAGGCCTATCCCAGCAGCCTTTGTCAGGTTATGGCTACAACTACAGTGGAGGTGCTACCGGAAGGAACGCAAAATAGGGAACGAAGCACCTTTTGGGCCGCAGAAGCGCCTGGCTGCACGAGGAGAGCTAACCGACCAGCCAAGGAAGGACCTAAGAAATATCGAGCCCCTTCCAAACCCAAACCGATTCTTATTTGAGCGCTTTGGCTGT